CACTAATCCGAGCATGACTGAAAATCTCCAATTAAGGAACTTTCTTTAGAGAATTGTAGAGATAAGTTTTCCGAAAAATTCCCCAAGTGAGAAAATATTCCTAGATTCCCCCAAAGCATTGGAAGAGTTTACAGAAGCTTTTTGATACAAGTATTTCATTTATGTATCGATAATTAGTAAAATAATAAAAAATAAGATAATAAAATATTAAAAAATGTATATAGTTCAAACCGAGAGTCATCTTGGTAAAACATCAAATAAGCCCAACGATGAAGCCTCTTTGAGGAAATAAACATGTTTTCACGAATACTCTTGAGGTGAGGAGAATTTCTAAAGCTTCATTAGAATGTTGGGAAGGCTTAGGAAAAATCTTTAATATCTACTAACGGATGGAGAAATCATAATAAATAGAAATTAAGGCCAATGCAAATAAGTATAAAGTCATAAATTCTTAATTAAGGCTAAAATAGGATAACATAAATGATTAATTGGTACAATTCTTTGAATGGGCATTGCAAGCGTGTTAATACCTTCGTCTTGTGTAACCACACTCACTAACCCTAAATCAACTATGTATACTTGACCTTGTTCTTTTTAATGAGCTTAATATGAGTTTAGGATCTTATTAGAAAGTATAGATTTGGTTAAGTGGTCAATTACACCTAAACAAAAAAAAATGGTGATGACTCCTTAACCCACATCAAGGCAATTGGCTCCCAAACTCACACATTGCAACAATTATCATAAAAAATCAAAAGTGTGCTGAGATTAAGATGTGATTCTATTGAAGCAATCTACATGAGTTTTCAAATATCCATCATTAATTCATGTTAGAAGCAATTGACTTTACTAGTTTCATGTGTTTCACAAAATAATTTACGTATGTGATTTCTATTAAAGGAGCTAATCTATCTACTCAAGATATCAACATATTCTCTAATAAGATGAACATACAACAAAATGATATTTCGACATATCAAAAGATCAATAAATATTCTGATAGGATGAATGCACAACAAAATGATATTCCAATCAAGTTACGTAAAAGAAACACTCTAAAAAATAAAAATGAAGTGGCAGATAGAGTCAAACACACTTAGATTAGAAAGGTTTTATCCTCGCTTCAATCTTAGATACAATAACTTGATAACATTTTATCTTCGTAGCAATCTATCCAATCATATACTTGTACTATAAATACATTGAAATTTAATGTAAATAAATAAATCTTATTTTTATTATCAATATTACTTTTATTCATTTTTTTATATGGTATCAGAGCTTTAAGCTCCATTGAGCAAAGCTTAACAACCCGTGACTTATTTAACTTTAGTATCTCTCACTAACTAGGCTAGATGTGAAATTTGTTTTTAATAAACTTTCTCAATTTATGCACAAGCCAACAACTCTACTATTTCAAGCTACTAAAAAATTTTACGTTACCTTCCATGGCTTATTCATTCAAAAAAAATATAACATGTCTTCACTTTTTCAAACTAAAATTGGGTAAAAAATCCATATGACAAAACATTTACCTCTGTATTCATCATTTACCTAGGTGGCACACCTATTTTATAGTTTTCAAAAAATTAAAATTAGTGGCAAGATCCTCTACTTAAGCAAAATATAAAGCAATTGTCACAACTATTCTGAATTAACTTGGATCTAATCACTTCTTCAAGAATAGCAAATGCAAGTTTTCACATCTCCAACAGTATTTTGTGATAATCTCAATACTACTTGCACTGCAAGAACTTTGTTTCCCACACAGCTAAAACATCTTGCACTTAATTATTTATTTATTTCAGAGAAGGTTCGAGATGGTCAATTCATTATGCAACAGATTTTCACTGAAAACTAATTTGCAGATGCACTAATTAAACCTTTGTTTAAATCTAGATTTCATCTCCTCCTATCTAAGATTAGTGTTAGTTCAGTCACCCCCTATCTTGTAAAGGTATAATGGAGGAACCACTCCACTTGGTCAAGAGATAAACACATCTTAAGGGATCAACATATCATCTAATAAGATGAACATAGAAAAAGAAGATATTCTAACATCTCAAAATATTAACATATCTTTTGATAGGATAAACACACAACAAGATGATATTTCAATCAAGTCACATTCAAAAGGACTATTCCAAGAAACAAGAAAAAAATGTTAGATAGAGTCAAACATAGTTAGATTAGAAAAGTCTTATCTTCACTTTAATCTTAGATAAGATAACTTAATAACATTTTATCTTTGTTAAAAATCTATCCAATCATATACTTGTACTATAAATACATTGAAACAAATGAAAATGAGTAGGGCTTATTTTCATCTTCAATATTACTTTTATTCATCTTTTTTATAGTTTCATGTTCAATTAAAAGATGGTTCCCCTTTTCAAAAAGAAAAAAAAACTCAAACTTTACTTCCATTTGCCAGTTTTCATGTGAAACAAACTCCATTAACGAAATAAGTAACATGTCAAAAATATAATCCATAAGAGGACAAAATGTGTTGAAAAAAATGCCATGCCATTTTTTTTTTCATTTTAAAAATGTTTTTTCAATGTCACAATTTTTTTATTGGTTGTTTTTGAATACATCACCCATTAGTTTAACGACTTAATCTCATGTGTAAACTGATTAATATAAACAAAGTTCAACTTTTGGCTCACCTACTTTTAAACTTCATATGCTAAGTTGAACATTTAATTATGGTTTGAATACCAAATATGTAATTAACCAAATAAAAAAAAGAAAAAAATGGAAATCTATGTTGGGGTAATGACATAGATTCATGATAACTCTATTATAGATAGTTATTTTGACACATTTTAAGGGTTTAAGTAGTTAGATCTTTGAAATTTTAGATTCAAATTTTAGGATTTTAGGTGTTTTTCTAGTTTAAGTTTGATAACTTGTTAAGTGATTAACTTAAGTTATTTTAGTTAAATTTTATGTTATTTTGTTTTAAATTACTTTAAGAGTAGTTATTGCTAATCTATCTTATAGCTTTTGTAGGAAATTGATGAAAAATGCTCATTTGATGAAAATCAGTGCAAGTATGGTAATGGCTTTGTTCGTATATGTTTTGGTATTTTGACCATATCTCTCTCTATAAAACTTCAAATGAGGTGATTCTTAAACCATTAGAATTATAAGAAAAAGGACTACAATGTATATGTTTACAATTCACCCAGTTGTGATCGAATAATGGTCAAAATATTTGTCTAAATCGGAACACTACAGCAGTATGCATGGATTGAACATGATGTAGTATTTGGAGCCTATGTCTCAATCAAAAAGCCCAATTGACATGATTCTTAAGCCAATAAAAATGTAAGAGATAGAGCTACAACTTTTATGTTTACCACTTATTCCAATTTGGAGCAGATCATGGTGAAAATCGTGTTCAAATTTGATAGATGGTCGCAGCATTAGGAGAACAAGGCTACAGCACTGGTGAA